CAAAAACTCTGAAATGATCCAAGAGCATCAGTTAATTTATCTCAAAGGCCGTCCTGCACCTGAGATTGATATCTCACTCTCACTTGTATGTTCTACCTAAAATTATATCAAGCCACATTAATAATAGAGCTTAGGAAAGACTCTGAAATGAAATGAAATTCTGAGTAAGTATACTCCAATAAAACAATTCCAAGGGCGCCTGGGTAGCTCAGTCAGTTAAGCCTCCAACTTTGGCTCAGGTCATGATCTCACAGTTCCTGAGTTCGAGCCCCATGTCGGGCTCTGTGCTGACAGCTCAAAGCGTAAAGCCTGCTTTGGATTATGTGTCTCCTTCTCTCTACACCTCCCCTGACTCCCTCTCTCTCTCTCTCTCTCTTTCTCAAAATAAGTAAACATTAAAAAAAAATCCAGAAACATAAAGATAACACAAATCTGTGTATATTTCCCCTACTTCTATGAAGCTTGTGTGGAAAAATAAAGGACCAAAGATTAATATCCATCTCCTGCAAATTAAAGTCTGAATTTGTTTAAATCCAAAGAGATTACAGTACAAAATCAGCATTGTTTGACTTTGATTGAAAAAGCCAAAGAACTTCCTTTTCCTAATTCTTTTTGCTTCTCTTCATCTTACCTGGGCCAAGCTGGACTCTCTTGGTAACACCATGACTGATTTCTTCCAGATACAGGTGTAGTTCCTTCAGAAGCACATACTTTGCTAGTAGTTCACTACAGTCTCCCATGACTTTGATATTTTAAGAGAATGAAGCATTAAGTGTGCATGCAGTATTATCACAAAAATGGCCCTAACCCCCATCAGATTTAAAGAACAAATTAATCCCGAGTCTCCAAAATTAATTATTCCAAGCAAAAGGGTATTCCCCCAGACCAGTACATAGTGTTGGCAGATACTCAAGAAGAGACCTGGAGCTACTTAAGAAAAATCAGGAGATGGAAAAAAAAAAAAAAAAACACAAAAAACCTTGGTTTAGCCTCATCCAGATGTTGGTCAGCTGGTGTTTATTGTCCCTAGTTTGCAAATTTTGAGCTCAAACACTGGGAGAAATCTTCCATCAGGAGTTCAATTATGGCACAGTTTTACCATTCTCAGAGTAGCTTTTCTCAAAATGTAGTTTCTGAACTAGCAGTATCAGTATCACCCGGGAGCTAGTCAGGAATGCAAATTCTCAGGTCCCAACCCAGACCTACTGAGTCAGAAACTCTAGAGAGAGCCAGGAATCAGCGATTTTAACTCCTCTGTCATTCTGATGCACCTGTGGTTTGAGCAGCACTGAACTAGGAAACACTCCCTAAAATAATGGCTCTTTTCTCAGAGTAGCATTTGAGATATTTTTGTTTTCCAGCATCTTTTTAAAACATACAATGGCGGCCGGCCCAGTTACCAGGTCAAAGTTTCTTCCTCTTTTTGCATACTCAAAGCCTTTGAGTGTCTAATTTCCTGCTGAATTCTGGGTTTCTGGCACCTGATTCTGCATTGTGTATTCTGTCAGGTGACAGATTGTCTTGTGAACAAGAATTTTCAGCCAGTAGGGTTCTCCAGCTTGAAAGCTATGCCAGTGGCTTATCCATGGCTTTCTGCTATGGAATTCAAGAAATTTACCTCCCAGAGACCTTTCCCTTCTTCCCCAAGTTTTTTTTTTTTTTGTTTTTTTTTTTTTTTTCCCAGCTGGAGAATCAACCTCAGCAGATTCTTGAACTGGAACTGTATGGATGTTTGTGAAGCTTCTGGCCCCGGGAGCCTAGTGAAAAACAATCCTTCTACCACATTCTCATCAAGAATTCACTAAACTTTCAAAGTTCCAGGACTTAATTAGTATTTCTGTCTCCTACATGCTATTCAGTGAAGTACATTTCCCTTTTAGTGTGGGGGTTCTCAACTTTGGCCACATATTTGAATCACTACTAGAGCTTTTAGAAATCCTAACGCCTAGGCCACACCCCAGACTACTGAAATCAGAATCTCTTGGGATAGGCCCAGATCCAGTGTTTGACTTCCCTCAGCTGGGAAGTGTGAGTCAGTTGCTGGTTTGTTGTTTTTTTTTTTTTTTTTCTAAATTATTTTAATAGTTCTAAATTATTTTCTAAATTTTTTTTTCTAAATTATTTTTTCTAAATTATTTTACATTTTTGGTGCCCATGCAATGTATGCCTTCTCATTTTTTTTCCAGTCCAAACTTTTGCTTTTCTAACATACTCCTGTAGATTTTGCCTTGTGGCATCTCACATAATGACATATATTTAAAAAAAAATAGTAAATTATAAATATGCCAGAAATAACATCTTTCAAAAAAAGTTTGGAAATCTTATATTTTAGAGTTGGGTAATCCTACCCTGACCATGTTCTCCCATCATACTAATTTCTAACCTGAGATTGAAAGTGACTTATTATTGTCTTGATTAGCTCTCTTTCAATATGCCTAATTTTCACTAGATCTTCCCCAATTTCCTATATTCATATGGACAAGTCCTGCTTAAACTGGTCTTGAGTTTGCTAGGAATAGAGAGGCTTACCTTATGTTTGTTAAGGTACACACTCACAGGCATGGAAGTAGTTCAAGAATTATTGCTTGGTAATGTTGTCCCTCATTAGGTTGTAAAATTACTAGCTTTTGATGTCAACTCAGCCAATATGAGATGCAAATAAGTGAGATCTAAAGGGTAATCACAGTGAATCATGCCAGTCTCTCTGCTCACATTCAGTGTGGGCTTTAAAGAGGTAAACGGTATGGATGCAAATATATATTATACACTCCATTTCTTAACATATGAGAAGAATAACAAAGAAAATAAATATATAAGGTATTGAGGCTGGATCAAATTTTCTCATAAGTTATCTTATTATCTTTGGAGTTATGATATCAAAACTCTGATTAAAGTATTAAATGTGAAAGAAATCAAACCCAGGATATTTAAAATTAAAAAAAAAATCCTCCTACTAAAACTATACTGAATCTGTAATATAGAGAGAGATAAAGGAGATTGAAAAGGATCAGTACATTCTGATACTGACAGAAGTAAGGAAGATCATCAAATCAAATATTTTCAAGGCCAATCAACTACTACTTAACAGCCTTCAATTGGCAGGATGATTCAATCCTGAAACTAATAGTAAAAACTTATGGCCATCAACAAACTTAAAGATTTTGATCCCTAGAAAAACAGCACCTCCTTCGCCTTATGCTATTACAAAGCTGACTTACCTATTGTCTTTTGTTCTGGTGCTATGGTCAACAACAATCTTTTGATCATGATTAGGTTCCCAGGTGAGACTACAGAGGCTACAGGGGATATATTGGTGGCAGTAAGTGCCTTCAGGTTAGCATTCTGGTCTAGTTCAGTTTTTGCATTTGTTTAAACAAATTCTGCCTCTAAAAGATAAAGTCAGGTTTCTAAATTTGTAAAAATTTTTTAAGGTTTTACCACTGGAACTAAACAGTAGAAATAAATAACATAATAATTATCTATTTCAAAGCTAATTGGCTATTAGCTAATAGCTAATTGGCTATTAGCTATCTGGTCCTCCCTGCTGCACGTTTTCCTATTCAAAATGTCTATTATTACCCTCTGATAATATATACATCATCATCATCATCATCATCATCACCATGAGTGAATAGCAATTTTATGCAGATAAGTTTTATGTATTAAAAGGCATGGCTTATTATACTTTGTGAATCAATAAAGTCTGTGCTAGAAGGAATAATTTGCTTTGTGTCAAGATAGGAAAGATCAAAACTTAAAATATTACTAAATTGCTCTGTCAAAAAAAAAAAAGCTAGAGTTTATAAGGTTCCAAATCTCTTGGTTTTCAGTCCAACTTCTTTGTTTTCAATTACTGTGATTGACTCTCTCTCTCTCTCTCTCTCTCTCTCTCTCTCTCACCTCTCTCTCTCTCTCTCTCTCTCCCCCTATCCTCATGAGATTACTGATTTCAGCCTACACTAAATTCTCCTTCTGGCATCCCTACTTGGGGAATAAGGGAGGTAAGGGGAAAGGGAATGTGAACTGACTTTATTATTAGATAATGTTTCTAAAATGTTTCTAAAGCCTTTGCCAAAGTTCCAATATTATTTGGAGACATTCAATTAGAACTAGAGGATAAATTTTGTGAGAACTAAGATATTGAAAATCTATTAAGTTTTTCTGGAGCCTAATGGAATGGTGGTGAATGGAGTCCTTAATAAACTGGGATAAAACTAAAGTAGAAATTTTTTTCTGGCAACTAAAAATGGAATATCGCCACTTTCTGACAATAAGGAAAGGAAATGAGTAAATAAACATGGGAACAACAAAATGCTGTGGTCCCAGAAGAGATACAGACTAGAGAGGATATTATTAAATGAAACCCTCAAATCATCAACTCTCATCTCTCTTGCATTACAATTTTCACCTAAACATCGCATTAAACACAAAGAAGCACTACCATTCAGAGTTACGAATTTATGATGAATCACCATCTATTAGGATAGATTTTTTAAAAGCATGAAATAATTTACATGTTTTCATAAATACATCCTAGCAAGTCAATATCAAATATGATTTTATGCTTTTTTGAAGTAAATAGAAAGCCAGTAACTAATTTTGATATTGGACTTGTAGAGATTTATTCCTAATATATATTTATAAAATCTGATTTAATCTAGTTAACAAAACACTGAGCTTTAAAAATAAGTGAATTGAAATAATTGTGAATTCACTCAAATGTGGTAGTATACCATTTCAGTAAGTATTCCACCAAATAAGCAAAATCAAAGAACAGTTGTTTGTAAGAAAGAAATCAGAGAGGATTGAGTGACACACGCACACAAAATGCATTTATGTTTTCGAATTTCAGTGATCTGTGCCAGGTAAATCAACCCATAACAATATTAAAACTTGTTCCCTCAGTATGATTAAGATATGGATAAGAAAACAAAAATTTAAAAGATCTATGTTAAGGCAAGTTACATTAGCAGCTGTAACAAACAACTCCAAAATCCCAATGGCTTTACACAATAAAAATTTATATCTTGCTGACATGACTGTCCAATGCAGGTCAATAGGTTTACTGTCCTCCAGGTAGTTATTTAGGGATTCAAACTTCCTTCATGCTAGAACTTCACCATCTTCACCTTGGGACTTCAAGGTCACACTAGTATCTTCTGTTGACAGATGGAGAAAGTATACTTGCGCTTCACTAATTTGGACCAGATGTGGTGCATTACTTCTTTTCCCATTCAATTGGCTAGAACGAACCACATGACCCGATCTAGATTCAAGGAAAGTAGAGAATGAACTTTAGCTGAATGCCCAGGAGGAAAATGAAACTGTGGTGAATGCATGGAATTGTCTTAGCCATCAAGTTTAACCAGACTAAAGCTTCATTCTGACATAATACCTATTTCTCAAAAAAGTTAGAATTACAATAAATGCTGCTTGAATTTTACAATCCACCTATATTGATATTATATGATGCTTCTCACACTTGTCAATTTCAGGGGAGGATTGAATGACTGTCAAGAGCTCCCACAAGGCAATGTGGCCTTGGTATTGTCTTTCGCCTTCAGGATCAGCAACTGACTAACATAATCAATGATGATCAAATCAGATTGTAGGTTGATGAATGATGCCCAGCAAAAACTATATGAGGCTTGAAATTTTGACAAGATAGTCCATTTATGAATGTATAAGGTGAAGCCATTTCCCAGTGGTAAGGCTCACTTCCCTGATCCAGATCCCCTCTTTCTCAGAATGAAGTTTCCTAAGAAACAAGATTATTCAGCAGAAACTTATTTGGCTGAATACAGGTTCAAAATTAAGTAAATCAAGCAGTCTTGTGGCAGGACTAATTAGATTGAAAGCCTGGTCTTACTATTTGTGTGACCTCAGACAATTCATTTTAGCCCTCCCATCTCCCATTCTCAGTTTACAAATCTATTAGATGTGCACAATTACTGCACCTTCTACAAAGAGCTGTTCTGATAATTACATGTGAATCAATGGGAAGAACATAACAGTTTCTCACATAGTGAATGTTCAGTCCATGCCAGTTATTTTTATCTAGCAGATTATGAGATCCAGTAAAACTTCTCTTCTCCATACCAGAGATGATCTCTTTAGTGACTGCTGCTTATGGCCAACAAATTTAATATTTCTCTCCTCCAAACAATGCTGGACACAACAACAAATCATTCTTTCCTGAACTTGATTTTTTGAGGCTGTCACTCTCTTCATTTTACTTTTTCTTTAGCTATACTATTATCACTAAAAAGTCAAGAGTCAGGAAGCTGTTCTCAAAGCCTTGGTGAAACAGTCTTTTCTTGTGTGTTTTTAAGGTCAGTTTTACAGCATGAGAACAATCTAAAGTGACTTCTTGGAATGGAGACCTCACTGCGACCCTCTCCCTGACCCTATCAGTATTTACACTAACATATGCATCATTTTTTTGTATTGCAATAGGAACAATTATATCTTCATTCTTAAGTGAATATCAATGAGTCACCAGGGATCTCAGTGTGCACATGCTTTTGCTTTCTTTGTCTTTCAGGATTTACTGTAGTGTCAATAAAGCTGTTAAAAAATAAAATAAAATAAAATAATATTGGGGGAGAAGCTAAGGGATGGAGGGAATACCAAGCAGAACAACTAGCACATGCAAATGTCTTCTAGAAAAAGGAGCATAAGGAATTAAAGATGGGCAATGCAGAAAAAGATCAGAGTTTGTATGAAATGGAAGAAGGCAACACTAGAAGGGCAAAGCCATGCAGGACCTTGTAAGGCAGAGAGTTTTGAATTTATTTTATTAATAATAACAAACATAAGGGGCGCCTGGGTGGCTCAGTTGGTTAAGCGTCCGACTTCAGCTCAGGTCATGATCTCACAGTCCGTGAGTTCGAGCCCCGCGTCAGGCTCTGTGCCGACAGCTCAGAGCCTGGAGCTGGCTTCGGATTCTGTGTCTCCCTCTCTCTCTCTGTCCCTCCCCTGCTCATGCTCTGTCTCAAAAATAAATAAAAACATTTTAAAAATTAAAAAAATAATAACAAACAAAATAAAAACAGCAAAAATAAAAATAGCAAATACTACTAATAATAAATTTCCATGGCACTTACTCTGTGTATTAACATTTTCATCCTAACACAGCTGTACTATATACTATATATACCAGGATTTTACAGGTAGAGAAACTGAGGTTTAGGAGGCAAAGTCCCTCACCCAAGATCTCACAGATAGTCCAGAGTCAAGTTCATCCAGTCAAACCAATATGTTACCTTGCTTCTGCAAGGCCACTGGCCTTGTGGCTATTAAGAACAATAAGATGCCATTTAAAGATTTTAAGCAGAGGTTGGCAGTGATCAGTTCTGTCTTTTAAAGAGCTTATTCTCATTAGAGAGTGAACATAAAATGGAGGAGATGCCAACTTCCTGTAAGTAGACTATTGCTGTATTCCTGGCAAGACAGGTAGCGACTTAGATTCTGGCCATAATGGTAGACATAAAAAAAAAAAATAATGGTATTGATAGATGTTTAGAAAATAATACTGACAGGGAAAATGGACATAATGATCATTACTTAAATGTAATGTTTGGCATAGACATTCATTCTGGTTGATTAGGTAACCGTTAAGACTGGCAAAACTTCCATCATTTACAAATTCACTCTTTCATTCAGTGATCTTTTCATCCATTCATGAAGGTAGGAATCGATTGAGTATCCTGAATTCTTTCATAGCATTCTTTCCGTCACACATCAGTGACATTTTCATTAAGTGTTTCTTTGGAAACTTAAGTTCAGTTTAAGTGCTGAGATCAAAAGATATCAAAATATTAAAACACACACACACACACACACACACACACACACACACATATACATTATGTTTTTTTAGTTGAAACACATGCTTAGCAGCAGCAAATGACTCTCCATCATCCTAAACAAGTATAAGCAGCATGTTCAGCAAGAGTCTGTAGTGACGGGGTTCCTGGCAAAGGAGGCAATTAGGAAGAGAAGTGTGGCTATTGTTTCCGAACACACTTCTTTTTTCATATTTTTACCATGAACTTAAGACAAATACATTAAGTAGACTCAATGGTAACAATGTTCCTCCAGGTCATTTAGATGTGCTTTTGGATGAGACAAGTGGATTTGATTAAATTTGTTTAAAACCAAATGTTATCACTTAAAATGGTGCTGAGTGCTTTTAGAAGATTTTTCTGTGGACACCTCTTCTGATTATTGGAGAATGAAAGTCTGAAAACTTTTGCAGTATTATTGATAATGAGATAAATATTGCTGGTAAAAGTCTCAGTACACATAACCTGGTCCAAGAAATGTAACTGAATCAGGCTCTCTGTGCTGACAGTGTGGAGCCTGGTTGGGAATTCTCTCTCTCTCCCTCTCTCTCTCTCTCAAAATAAATAAATAAACCTAAAAAAAAAGATATGCAAGCACAGTGGTGGCTAAGTTCGAGGCCATGTGCAGGAGTGACCCTTTGTATTTATTGTGTTTGTAAAATCCAGGTAAACATAATAAACAGATCAAAAGAATTCAGTAAAAAAAAAAAAAAACACAGTAAAACAAACAGACAAAAACAACAGGTCAGAGTAAAACAAGGAGGTAAAAGGAAAACAACGGAGGAATATTCGGGAAGAATGAAGATTTCTATCACAGGCTCAGTTATATTTGCATTTGAGTGTTGCCAGTTGTAGCCTAAGAAAAAGGGGCAGGGATGTTTTCTGGCTATTTGTGTTTATTCCCAAATTTAGGTTTCTGCAGGATAAGCATAAAAGTCATCCACATGGAGAGCCAGGTGGCTGTGCTTCCCTGGCCACATTTCTTTGCACGCATTGCCTCACAACTTCATATCGCAGCATGAAAATTGTTAAAAGAAAGGAGGAAAAAAGACAGAAGCTTAAATCATTTCTATTCAATAGTGATAATAAATGGGTCTGCAATGCGAAAAGCTTACCATGAGCAGCACTTTGAGTTTATAGTTCTGTAATTTTGCTGAACTGAAAAGGCACTCTTTTCCCTTGGTCTTCAAAATTGTTCAACGTTCAACGTTCACATTTTATTAGCAAGTAAGCATGAACAAAACGGGTTTTGATAAGCACAAAAGCTGTTTTTTGCCTCATTATACTGGATGGCAAGTGAGATCTTACGGCTTCGCATCAAATCAGTGGAAAAACAATTATCTGTAGAAAGTATGTGCAAACATTTTTCCTACAAAGCTAAAGATTCAAGGCGACGTGTCTGGAATGTGTTTCTCCCTTTAGGCTGCCTCCATTCCATGAAACATCTGTCTCAATTTCCGCTCTTCCTGGAGCCTCCTTTTGGTCTCTGCAGATCTATTCCTTCTAAATCTGCTTCATTCTGATCCTGCAGATGGAAACCGTATGTCTCCCTGCTTAAGGACGTGTGCCCAATCTTCTCAAGTGGAGATTTCTGGCCAAGAGTTACAATATCTTCATGTATGGCTTCCTAATGCACCAAATACAGTATGAGATGCTTTTGGTTTGATTTCATGCTTTAAAATGCATTAAAGTGGGCATTAACACATTCATGATTCTTATCAGTAAAATCTCTGAAGTTAAATATAAAGCTGTGGCTTAGATATAGTTTGGACAAGCAAGCTTATATTTAATAAGTACTTGTTGATCATCTATTACGCTACAGCCTTGAGTTACAAAGATAAAATATGTAACTCAGAGTGTACCATGTAGTGGGCTTGGATAGGCAGGAAACTGGCGGAGTCACTACAATACAGGGAGGAAGGGCTGAAAGGGACAGACTCTCCAGAAACAGAAAAAGACACAATTCAGAAGTGTGAACTGACAAAAAAGTTTAGTGTTCCTTTAAAAGAGTAATTTTAATTTTCATCTGTGAAGCCACGCATTCAAATTTATTAACAATAACATTAAATAATAAATGTATCTAATTTTAAGTGTATTACGATTACCTGAAACAGCTATCTAAAATACCAAAATATCTGGTCTAATTACATACTTATTTCATACATGAAAGTAATATTGTGCATACCATTTGACATTAAATACATTAAAAGGTAATTTGTGGTTTTTTTTTTTTTTTTGCTTATTTAATAAGTGTGAATAAAGAAGAAAGGTGGGAAGAATCAAGCAGCCATATAAGGGTAGTAAAAGGGGAATCTGAGATTTCTGGACGCCATCAGGAAAGTAGACTCCCAAAGTGTGTCCTTCATGTTGCCAATGAACTATCTTGAGCAGATTTCCTGCCTAAGGTTATAAGATTGTT